CCATCTATTTTTCCCAGCTCAGTCACGTACACTTCCCTCTCCTTCTTGTACAACGGACATTCCGCGACTACATGAACACGGTCTTCGCATTCGAAGCCGCAATCACATTTGAACTCGTCGTCTTCCTCGTCTACCGTCCTATGTCTTCGTCGACGTTCTCGAAGGCCAATCTTCCGCTCATGCCCAGAGACTACAATACCACAAATATCTACTTGATCGAGTTTTCGGGAGGTAGAGGAGTGATGAACTGAGGGCGAGATCAACACAGCACGCGGTGTGGTGCGCTCGAAGAGGTTCAAGCCTAAAAAAAAACACGAAAGAGACGATAATCAAAACCAGGTTAACCCGCTTGATACGCGTTCCGGGCCCACAGAGAGCGCTGAAAAAGCACCCAACAAAAGTGGGAAGTTCGTCTGTTTACCGGTTGGAACACCACGGAAGAAGATGAGCACCGGATGTATGCACACGTTGGAACGATTTTCGCCGTTTTCCCACACGGCCATGACGACGAACACAACAACAACAGCAACAGCAGCAGCAGCAGCAGCAGCAGCAGCAGCAGCAGCAGCAGTAACAGCAACATCAACCATGGCAACCCATAAACACCTCGATGCACTCGCTCTTGAAGACGTCCCACAGCTTGACGGTTCCATCCCAGCTTGCCGAGGCTAGAACGCCCTGGCTGGGGCTGAAGCACAGCTCCGAGAGGGGGGCCTCGTGGCCCGCCAACACGTCCAGCAGACGCCCGGTCTGCAACGACCACACGTACACCTGTTGTCCAAGATTTCGTGTCGGGAAAGGAAAGAGGTTTAAGGAGGTTGGAAGAGGTCAACGAGGTCAACGAGGGGGAAAGGGAGGAGGAGGGGGGGGGAGGGACATACACGAAGGGAAGGATGGCGCGGTGTACCGAGGTCGAACGTAAAAAATTTGGAAGGTGAACCACGGCGATTTAGGGGGCAACGGTGTACTGTACGCACGAGCGTTCGAAACAATTGGGATGCTTTTAGACGCGAAGGGAAATAGCATAGACAACCTTACGTATGTAGTACACAGTACCAGTGATAGTTTTTTTAGAAACGCTTTGTACTGACGCCGTTCCTTGCCTGTTAGCAATCAAGGCGGTGTACGCCAACAACACCAAGCAGCAACAACAACAGTCAACAAGGGCGACCACAACAACGACGGCAACGACGACAACGACAACTACAACCACCCGATCCGATACGCTAAGGACAGGTTGATTCCACAACAATTCTTCACGTCTTCCTCTAAAGCCTACAGCGACAACAGCCACGCTGCCGCAAGCGGAGCATGACAAGAAACGCGACCTCCAATTCATCCTAGGCGAGCATGCACATTTCTCTTATCTGTGCCAGCGCACCTCCGTCTGAGTCTGCCTGCATGCCTGCCTGTCTCTCTCTGTCGATATCTCCTTGTGTATCCCTCATCGCAATTATCGCATTTACGCATGTCCGTTACGGCTCTCATCTGTCTGTCTGTGGTTCCTTGCATATACCTTCACCCATCTCTACCTCTCCCCCTTCCCCTCCCCCCCTCCATCGTGAGGTTATCTCACCTCGAAAGGATCCATCGCCCCGGCCACCACCACCTCCCCCGACCCATCTAGCGCTAACGATGTCAGCTGCGCCGGCTGAGGAGTGACCAACGTCCGGAAGTTCTTGTATCTGGCAGGGGGGGGGTTAGGGGGGCGGGGTAGGGGTTGCCGTTTCCCTTGCTTGTGAATTGGACGACCCGTCAGCAATGGCAACGACCACTACGATGAATGCAACAATAACAAACCACTTCACTAACAACAACAACAACAACAACATCACAATAGTCGCTAAAACCGCAGTATCCAAGTACCCCACTCACCTCACGAGGTCGTGCGCTCTGACGGTTCCGTCGAGCGAAGCCGACACCACGGCCGAAGCATTCGGCGTGAACCGGACAGCGGTAACGGGAGCCTCGTGCTCCGTGAAGGTAACGAAGCAGAAGCCGCTTGATGTTGACCATAGCTTCACCTGAACAACAACAAAGAATCAGAACGAGCCGCATAAGGTTGGTGAGTCTACCAAGGGGAGCTGAGGTGTCTTGGAAGCGAGTTGCGGGTAGTCCTTTTGTGATTCAAGACGGAGGGGAGGTGAAGGAGAATGGTCGTCGAACGCAGTACCTCATCATTGCGACCCAACAAGAGACAGCATAACCTTGTTATGAAATCACTTTCGTGTGAAGTATGTTGATAACCTAAGAAATACTTCTGCACCATAAACGGGTGGTTTAGGTTCAATTGGTTGTAACTGGTTTCGGGAAAGAAGCACGGGCTAAAAGAGCCTTCCAAAAGACAGCTTGGTCAGTGTCAACGGCGCAAGTGGCTGCTAATACACAACCAATAGCGAACAGACAACTCGGAACACATTCTCGGGCAGGGCAAATCGTTGCTGCCACTCCCTGCGAGACACACACCGATGCACACTTGCCCAAGGTGGCTCCCAAGCGACACAGCTAGCAATTAGCAAATCAAGAGCAAACAACCAACCATGCACACTGCACCTGTCGCATCCAACAAGCACAATCAAGAAACAGAGCAAACGGTTCGTTCTACCGGATAAACAGAAAAACATATTTAAGTCAAGTACTTTGTTCAAGAAACAGAGCAACAATAATACTCTGGTTTTTTCTTGTGAATGGACAAACCTTGCTATCGTCCCCCCCCGTGGCGCACACCGACCCCGTTGCCCCGAAGGCGGCGCAATTGAGGCCGTACCCGTGCCCCTGCTGCTTGAGCACGTACGTCTCGCTCTGCCACTCCCACACCAGCAGCTGCATCACGCGAACGATAGCATCGCGCGCGCGTGGGATGGTTCTCGTCGGTACCCCGTTGTTGTTGTTGTTGTTGTTGTTGTTGTTGTTGTTGTTGTTGTTGTTGTTGTTGTTGTTGATTTCGACGTCGTCGTTTCATTACAACTCTTCTTACAACTACTAATAACTTCACCGCATGTATCTGTCTGCAAGAAGAGTCCAGGCTAAGTCAGTGAAGAACTTATCTTGTGGTCATCGTCGTGTTCGTTTCGAAACGGTTGATCGGTGCATCCCTTCGACTGGAGTACTATCTCGAATGAGTAGTTTTCCGTGGTTGCATGTACTCATATCATACGGTCTATCAAAAAGGGAACGATAGGCAAACCATCGCGCCTAACGTTTAGCTTCATGGCCGATCGCACCACTCCCCACCTGCCCTAGCCTGGCGCAGCCGAACGCCAGCCAATCACCGGTGGTGCTGACGTCACAGGTTCCGATACCCGCCTGCCCGACGCTGAGTGTGTGGATCGCCGTGCAGTCCGGCATCTCGTACAACCCGAACACGCCGCTGGAGAATCCGAGCACCAGTAAGCTCTGCAAGAACAAATACAACAAGTGGGTGTCAAGGAGAGGATGGGGTGGGGGGTCGTCCAATGCTTGTACAAGCTACAAAAACAGAGCCCGGATCACTAGCAAGCTTCGCTCAATAAAGTAAAGAAGGGGGGGGCTGGGGTCAACGAGGATTGTAATCTGTCTCTTATACACAT